CAACATTAGATCATTGACACCATTGAAAATATAACTTTTCAGTCAATAACAAATCTCAGCTTTTATAATGAATGGATATAAGATGTATTATATTAGGTGTGTATGAAATCACTGTTACAATGGTGGAAAAAAAACTAGTATTTCAATAATTCACTCACTGTAACTTGATGCAAGATAATGCACAATGAAGTCATGTTACTGAATGTTATCTTACTGATATCAAACTACATTCGTGCTTATAGCCTAATACTGCTTTTCTGATGGACTAATGTAAGGGACACTCTTTAATCATACATTAAATGCATTTTTTAATATGCATATTTTGGACACATGAGTCATTTTAAGCTTCTGGTGTGTGAAAATATTACACTATCTTGTTTTTTAACCCTAGTAAACGCTATAGGAGCATTTAATAGTTAAAGAAACGTACTTGTGTTATCCACACTAGTCATTAGCTAAGCAAATGGTGATGTTTATTTGCAGTCCAAATAGTTTTTATACTAAAAGCTTTAAATATAATTTTAAATAAAAATTTTTTTAGTAACCACTTTGTACCGAAGTACCAGGGCTTTTGACAACACTAGGTCTGTTTGATAGTTTGGTCCAAGTACTTAATATAAACCATTACATGCAATGTGTAATTATGAAATCTGAAGTATTATATTTTTATTTTTCATTGTGATGTTATATTTTCAAGAGTTATGATGGAACTGTTGGATAATTTTGATCATTGAAAACACTTTTTTCACTTTTAGAATTGCCATATTTACTGTTTAAATATTTATTATTTGCTCAACTTACGTCGTTGTCAGAGATCCAGAGAAATCCAGAATCTTTGCACTTGGACATTGACCCGATGATCAAGTTTCTGGCAGAATGGGATTAGTTCACTTAGGCTATCATTCATACTCTACGGTTGATGAAGGCATTTGATAGAAGAGAAGCTTTGGTGTGAGCTGCACATGGGAATAGAAAAAGCTGGGAATTAGCTCCAGCTAATATTTGTTGTCATTAACGGGATATTTATTAAACTTTGTACTAGTCAAATTATATAGATGTTGTCCATTTTCATTTTAAAAAATTGTTTAAAGAAAATAGTATTTACTAGGGGTGTAACGGTTCACGGTATGTATTGAACCGTTTCGGTACGGCCTGTTCGGTTCGGTACACTTGCGTACCGTTTCGGTATTCAGTATTTTTATTAAATTATATAAATCTATTATTAGCGCGATATTAAGCGCGGCGGAACAATGTTCCTAGGCTTGAAGACCCCCACACCTTACTACGGTCTCCTGTTTGGGAACACTTTGACTTCTCTGTTAAAAGACATAACGGGGATAGACGAGTGGATAAATTTAAAGTTGTATGCCGACATTGTTCCACGGAGATCGGGCAGGCAACACATCTAACATTTTCTACTGCTGGAGGTATTGTCACTGCAACCAGATCTGTGCTCTCTTCAGAAAATGTGGATAGGTTCATCTATCCTATCTATCCTAACTAGTTGCAGTATTTCATTTTTTAATTAAAAAAAATGTGTTTTTCTTTATAAAGAGTGCAATTTATTCAAAATATCACCCAAATGTGTCACTTTTATTTATTTTATGCAAGAATTCTATTGTGTATTGGCAGCTTTTCAAAATAAAGAATATGTAAGTTCTTATTGTTTTGTACCGAACCGAATGAACCGAACCGAACTCTCCAAGACACTGTACCGAACCGAATACGTTTTTAGCGTACCGTTACACCCCTAGTGTTTACAATCTATTTCCTTCTGCATTCTCTTGATTTTGAGCATTGTTCAGATCGGCCAAGGTTTGCATTTTTAAGGAAGGCACTGCTTCATGTCTTGTCAGGCTAATGAAAGATGGTAGAAGCATAGAGCATTTCTAAAGTAGCATAGATAACAAATAGGATAGATTACTTGCAGTTGTGTTTCTAAACTATAGAATTGATAAATACATAGATGAGTTCAGTAATGTTCTCCGATGAATCTGTGGAGGAAGATGCGTCGCTGGTGCTTACTGTTGGCAAAAGGATGATGTATAAAAACATTTCATTCTTCACAAAGAAACATTGATATTGATATTAAGTTTATGTTGCATAACAGCTAACACAACTAGGGATGCACAATAACTTTTTTATAGAGCTACTGATAACCTTAGCTTTTGAAAATAACACGCAAACATACCTAAACAATAATAACAAAAGCAAAAGACTTTTCATAAAAGTATTTTTTTCTGTAAAAAAATATTGGTATAAGCTTCTGAAAAACGTTCCAAAAATTCCAAACTAAACCTCAATTTAGAGAAGGGGTATTGGTTACTGATGGGAAAAAAATAAAAAATAAAATAAAGGCTCCTTTAACCACCTTGAACTGATGCAAATACATGCTCCTAGGATTATGAACTGAAAACTGCAATTGAACACTTTGAATGAAACACACTCTATAAATGCACTGTGAGCTAGATTTAAATAGTTCTACTGGATGTAAGAAGTGCAGAAAGTGCATTTGAAGCAACAACAAATGCACGGACAGAATATAAATCTGTGTTTTGTTAAGAAACTGAAAAAGTGCTTTTTAAACAATTCTGTATTGAGAGGCTCAAAGAGAACAGACAGACCAAAAAAATCCTCTGTCCTCTTTTAAATCTATCAAGAGCCTCACAGATATTTAGGAGTTCTGTTTTCTTTTTTGCTGCAGTCTTGTTGGCGTCTTTAGCAGCCTTGTCATCCTCAGATGATTTGAGCACTCTGTCAAAGTGATTTATTGCTAATAGCCACCAAACTGTCCTCTCTGGGGACTGTCCTGCTTGCTACAGGACGGTTCAGTCATGGTTGCAGCTCAGAGAGCCATTTGCTCGGATCTTTTTTTGCAGCTTTGGACCTTTCTCACAACAGCTTGAGCCTTTTTGAGCTTGTTTGCTCACAGTCTTGAGCTGTACTTGGCCAGGGGTCCTCTCAGTTACATTAGCTGTGGAAAAGTGTCCAAGATCCACGCAAGCTGCTGTGAATGATTATTTTCTTAGCTGTGGAAAGGTTTCTAGTTGTTTGCTTGTGTGCTGCATTGGACTCCAAACGAAGTTCTTAAACTTTTGGCCTCCAGCAACTCAGTTTTTCTTTTAAAAGGGTTTCAGAATAAAATCTACATGTTTGCACAGAAATATCGTGTTGAAAAAAACTGTCCTGTACAGATGAAATCTATGTTTGTGATACGAAATATGACTTATCCACTGAATTCCAATCAACCCCACCACAGCAAGGCTGCTGCTGTTTTCATCACTAAACGCCTCTTCACAAGTTTCATGCTCCAATGTGCCTCTATATTTACCCATTAGTGCCAACGGGACATCACACATCGGACCAAAACAAGTAGTGTCAAAAATGACATCTTGGATTGGGTTTTCGCAAGGAGAAGCTGACTCTTTTGATGTTAAAAGGAGATAAAAAGCTACTCATCCCACATTATCATAGTGACTTTGTACGGGAAAGAAATGGCTCACCACAAATCCTCTCTTTTCTCCACATTTCTGACTAACAGCTCCCTGTGATAAGCCACCAACAGACTTCCATGTTTTTTTTATGTTCTTTGAATTCTCCTCTGCAGTCATCTTGCTGTTCTTCTTTCCTATTTCCCTGTTTGGTGCGGTGAGCGTCTGTTGGAGCATAAATAGCATCTTTAGGTGCAGAGGAAATGTACCCTGCTGATAAGCCATGAGGAGATTCGTGTGAAGCTCAGTTTGGACCTGTGTAGTGGCTTTTACCCTTACTCATCAGGGTAGGGGTGAAATCCTCTAAAGTTCAGGAACATTTAAAGGGCAAAGAGCAGGGCTTGAAACAAAACCTCCACAGAAGTTTGTGTTCCTGCGTTCCTCACTAAAAACATTGCATTTTCTGTTTGAGTGAAAGCAAATAACTGTTAATAACGTTTTCTCCGACAATGTTTGGGTTTCTTTATGGCCACGAATAATGTTCTAAATGATCATTGGATGTTTAATATTTGACATGTTTAAAATAACTAAATAAATAAAGTAAAAAAAAAAGTATCTCTGTATCGCTCTAGCTCAAACCGTTAAATGGAAGACATGGAAAAGGCCAAACTAACAGATGAGGGAGGGATGCTAAAGACCACTCTTTCAGCGCAACTCCATTTAGTTATTCTATCTAGTGATTGTGGAGAAAAATCCAGTTTTACCTGTTCTGGGGTCGTGGTTGTGTTTCTTTTTTTGGTAGCAGGGCTCCACCGCCGAGCGACTTTTTAATTATTTACTATGGTGCGCCATTTTTAATAAAGTCTTGAACAGTGTCAGAGTGTCTCTCGCCAACCCACGACAGTATCTAACTCCTGTGATTAGTTTCATGTGTGAAAAGGCAGATGTCAGGGAAAGAAACGCATGTTCACGAGCAAATATCAATCAGTGAGCGCTAAAGGTAGAGGAGGGTGGGACTTCTCATGTTTCACATAGCCAGGGAAGGAAATTTAAGGGATGTGACGCTGTTGGCGAGTCACAATTATGGAGCTTTAAGTAAAAAATGCTCCCATTATGTGGAAAAATCCCAGTCTTGCGCTTCAGTGGGAATTCAGGAACTACTGGATGCTGCCCCAGACAGTGCTGCAGTGTGAAAAGACCTGTTACGGGATTGCTCTGACAATTGTGCAGTCTGAAATTGAAGATGATGCTTTAGTTTATATCAAATTCTAAAAGCTGTGCATGAAATCAGGGTTGGTATATCTTGTCTGAATTCATGGGATTTTTCTTATGGAAGATAATTCATATGATTAAATAAAGTCAAGCTATAGTTGCTAACTAATCAACAAATAAAAGAAACGTGTGCAGTTCAAGATTTAAATAGTTCCTTCTGGTAAAACCCTTACCAATCTTGACACAGGCTTTATTTAGAGAAAATACTTCACGAGCACAAACAATCTGATTGATCTCATGGACCGTAAGAAATTATGTAGCTATAAATATTTACTATAAATATATTCATCTTTGACTTTCCTGTGCCTCAGTTGGTAGAGCATTGAGCTAGCAACGCAAAGGTTTTGGGTTCAAAAAGAAAGCAAGAACTGACAAAAAAAGTGTTCATTCATTCAAAAGTAAGTCGCTTTGGATAAAATTCTGCTCAAAAATATTTCTTCATATCTTCTGCTGGTACAGATTTAATTTTTGCAAGGATACATTTTGGGTGGAGAGATGGTCTGGCTATCAGTGCATCAGATTGAGCTCCGACCATTGAACTGTCTGTTGTCTTTGCTAAATCCCATTTTAATGAAGTAATTTTTTTCCTGCAGTGCGTCAGGACCCAATTCTTGGCTCCAGTGAGATGTTCAACAGCTTTCTGAGAAAAGCACAACAGGTAAAGTGTCAATATTACCTATTTTTAAACAAGTGATTTAACTGCTGTTGCTGAGGTGAATACCTTCTAGTAAATTTAAGAACTTTAATGTATGTTCTGTATTTTTCAAAAATGCTTTCCAACCTGATGTCGGTCTGATAAAAAAATAAAATGGGTAGCCAATCATCCTCAAGGGGGTGTGTTAATTCATGAAATTTGTCAATACTGCAATATTTTTACCTTTGTCCCTTATTTTGATTTGTCTAGTACGAGAGCCTAAGTAATTTTCGGTTTATCATTTATAGTTTGCTATTTTTATGCAAAAAAAGTGTCCTACCCTCATGGGGCTCACTCTACAGATGTGGAAGGCAGTGATATTGCTCAGGAACGGTCCTGTTTTTGTGAACAGACCACATCTTTAAAGGAGAGTGAGGCTGAGTTTTCTTTCTCTCAGAATGTGGTGTGCTATAAACAAGTCAGTTGTGTAGAGTTACTGTTATTAGGTTGCTAAATAATGTTCTATATTTCAGTAGTAAAATTTCAGTCTGTTTACTACTTTTGCTGAAAGGATCACAGGCAGCAAACTTATCAATCTCAGCTGTATATACATACAATTATGTGATTGTAGACTGCTCTCTACAAAAGATGTACATAAAAGATGCACTTGAAAACATTTCGAAAAATACTTTTTCAAAAACTGATCCAGGGCCGTGTTTTGTGTACAAATGGATTGTTGCCTAGTTCTCAGCTTTTAGCCATGCATATTAACAAACAGTGTGACCAAAAAAGATAAACCCCTTCATTAAAAATAAAGCAAATGTTTTAGGTTACAGTCCTCAGCAGACAGAGAGCAATGTATACATGGTAATACTCCTCGAAAAAAGATGATGTAACCCTTTAAAACCTTGTATGGACATGGGCCAAACTAACATAAAACTATGGTAATAGTTGAAAATAATTGTAAAACTTTTACAAATTGCAAAAAGTACATTTGCAAGTCTCTGGTTGAGCTTGGGTTTATCATATTGAGTTTTGCTGCAGAAAACCCTTCGAGTTTTGGTAAACCGCTTATCCCTTCATTCGCAGAAAATGCGACACCCCTTCAACTCACGTGATTTCACAAAAGAGTCTGGTAGGGCCAAGCTAGCTCCCTCTGGCCATCTGCTGGCAATACAACTGAGAGTCAACTTTAAATGACTGTTGTGCGTACACAGTCAAAATACTACATACTAAGATATTGACTGACGGAGTTTGAGGTTAACAGATACAATCTCTTGGAGGAGCTTGTTAAAGTACATCAGTTTTATCCCATTTTTTAATTTTTTTTGGCCAAATAACTGACTTCTTGTCCTTTTGAGAACTCAATTAACTGCAATTAAATTTTTTTGTTCAATCAATTGACCGACCAGTCAATCATTTACATTTATATATTTAGCAGACGACACTTTTATCCAAAGTGACTTCGTTTGGTAGTAAACATGAGTAGTTTGTTAGAAGGTTGGAATAATCACAAGACATGCACATAGAAGACATTTAAGCTGATACAGAAAATAAGTTCAGTGCTTCAGAGGGTTTTTCTTCAATTTATTTATTAGTTTGATTAAGTTAGTAAGTGCTTTGTAAAGAGTAGAGTTTTTAGTAGCTTTTTAAAGGTTGAAAGAGACTCTGATTTCTGGATTGGGATGGCAAGAAAATTCTACCACCCTGTAACTGTGAAGGAGAAAGTCCTGGTGAGAGATTTTTTTGCCGCTCTGAGATGGGACCACCATCTGAGATGGTGGATAACACAGCATTCTTTCCGGCTGGTTTGTATAGTCACATTAGCTCCCATGTAATTAAGACTAAAGTTCCACTGCATGCAGCCCCTGCGTACAAAAGAGGCATAGGTGTATAAAAGCCCTACACATTGAGACTGAGGCTCCCAGCTCTGCAGGAGGGAGCAGTCATCAATGAAGAATGATACAAACGCATTGCATTTGCCCTCGCTCTCAGAAAGCTGTGCTTATCTATTTTATCATGGCAAAGAGAGACATGTTTTGGTTTTCTCCAACATCTTTAGTACCATTGCTTTTGTTTTTACTCTCTTAGGTGAAATCTAGTTAATAACAGACTTTTTAATTGAACTCACCAAAAAGACAGCAGTGACGGCATGTGTTGGAGATTTCTAATTTCAAGCAACTTTTAATTTGTTTTAATTTAACTCAATTTCTGCTAACAGACAACTGTAATTGTGTGACTATTGTAATTGATGCAGCACTGACTTCCTCTTGGATGTAAACAAACAAAGTAACAGATACTTATTTTCCTTCATTGACGGGAATGATCAGTACACTGAAGTAATTACAGAAATTATCACTAGTGAAAGCATCTTTACTATCTCACAGTGGATCTTATTTGAGATGTAAAGTAAAAGGAACATTTTTATGATTTATGGAAAGTGTAAAAACAAAATAAACAAATTGTGTGTACACCTTTTGCAGAAGTAACAGCCTCTAATATATATAACAATATAACAAGATATTGTATTTCTGCATCAATGCAACACACAGTTTCTGGGTAGTTGAATGCGGTTGTCTGCGACTCAAAATTGGGGCTAAAATAGTGCAGTCTTAAAGTTTTAACACTGACATGAACAACCGACCATTTGATTAATGAAGTGCGATTTGTACAACAATTGTCAGATGGAGCTAATCAATCAGATCCATAGCAGAAACATGAGTAAAGTCCTCATGGCGGAGGACTTTTAGAAACCTGAGCACCAGCTAATGTTACAGAAGTGTTATTGCAAAGCAATGTGGTCAGTGCACAGGAGAATAAATGCTCTTGGTAGCATAATCTATGGTCTAAACTCAATGCAGAACTACAAATCAGCCTAAGAGCTCTGTATGCCAGAGTTTTTTTTTTTTTTTTTTTGGGTGACTACTTGGCATGAGACAGTTTCCTGAAAATCAGAGAAAGGGTGTTCTTGGAGGCATTGATCATGATGGAAGCTGTGATGACCTTGTTAACAACCTTGCTGTCCTTGTCTTGTGAGTTTAGCACATTTTGCTCATTCTGCATGACGTGAGAGATATGTTGTGGCTGATTTGAGGAGTTGCTGTCCTTGTGACAGTGTTCCAGCCTCCCTGATGTCTGGATATGTGAAATCAGCTTTGGTCATGCACTTTTGATGCAAGGAAAAGATGTATATATATATTTTAGGAATCTAATGCCTTAGAACACATGTGTCAAACTCAAGGCCTGGCCCACGAGAGCTTAAAAGTTTTGAGTGTCTAAAGAAACAAACAAAAAAACTACATTTCCCACAATGCCTAAGGTAGCCGCAACTGTGTTTCCGCATCCATACTCATGAGTGAAACTGCAGAGCTGCCAACTCACACATTGAATGTAAGACTCACGCATTTGAGTGATCGCTCACGCCACACCTCCGATTTCTCACGCTAAAATAAATTTCAAGATGTGAAATGGGCACAGCTAATAGTTTATCTGTGATCTGTTTCTTGATCCTGATGATAAAAGATGATAATCGATATGCATCGTCTTCAGTCTGTGAAGGTTTTTTTTTCGCTAAACAAATGACAAAAATGATATTTTTCTTTATTCACTTGGACAGTTTGATCTTTCATTAATGGAGTTATGTGGGTTTTCATAAGCTGACAAAAATCAAAAGGATTTATATCAGAACAACAAGCATACAATTGTTTCTATGCAACTGAATTGTCACTTGAATAAGTTATAAATAATGAGTTATTTAACATTAACCTCTTAAGCCCGAGAGTCCCCGGTACCGGGGACTTGCCCCCTTGTGCGTTACATTTTCACTCATAGCTCACTAACCCTGAGAATAACCCACACATATTAAATACTGTTGTGTTCAGCGGAAACTCCTCTAAAAACGTATCTAATTCAATTTCATATTCGTGAACCACAGCTCGAACGCAATGCAAATAAACAACAACATGTCCGGAGTATAATTCATGACCACGTTTTTGTTTATGTGCGATATGTATCCACAATATAAACGGAAACACCAAAACCATGGCATCAAATGAAAGCTAACAACCAGCTGAATCCAGCGATATGCAACTCATTTACATGGTGAAAAGTATTTCAGAGCAGGGAGCGAAAGTTCCACGAAAAAACGCCAGCGAAAATCAAGCAAGCATGTAAATCTTGTCTTACCTTTGCCGTTTTTTCAACAAAAAGTTATTTCCATAGCGATAAAAGTCCGTTTGTTGTTATGTCCGGTCAATAGCTTCGCGAAAACGCCATTTTGCATTTTTTCTGTGGCTCCTTGGTCTCATGACGTCACCAAATATGGAATGACTCCCCGTGCGTAAGAGGTGGTCTCTCCACGCTGCGCGTCGTGTGATTCGTCGGTGATCCCGTCAGTCTCAAAATGGTTGAGCTGATTGGTTTCCATAGAATCAGAGCTTTCCAGCGATATATAGATCTCCCGGATTGGACAGATGGTCGGGGGGTAGGGACACGCAGAAGCTCGACGTCGAAAGCGTTTGTGAATGAAAGGTTCCCAAAAGCGCAGCAAGATGGCATAAATGAGCTTCTACCCCCCTTTTACAGCGTTTCTTTAGGAGTTTTTTTTGCTGAAATCATGTCCCATAAGCAAGAAAAGAAGACTATGAACGTAGCTGAAGCTTTGGACAAGATTTTTTCCATATTTCAATTATTGTGCCAAATTGTGCCAAACTGTGCCAACATGGATTACGCCTGA